TAAATAGAGACAGGGTCTCTGTCACCGAGGCTGGAGTGTCGTGGCACTGTCATAGCACATTATGGCCTTGAACTCCTGGGCTCAAGTGATCCTCCTACCTTGGCCTCCCAAAGCACTAGAATTAGGCATGAGCCACCATGCCCTGCCCTTCCTTCTACTTTCTTTAACTTTACTTTGCTGTTGGTCTCACACTCTTTATGTCTGAGTTGTGTTTGCTCATGCTCACCTTGGTTTGGTTTGTGTGATTGTTCTCCCTTCTCTCTGCTCTTTCCAGAACAGTTTTCCAGAGGCATATGGTTTTCTGTGTGTTTATTTTTAATGAAGAGAGGAAATCTGGGGTGACAGAAGTTGAAGTGTTAGGAATGATGTCATCTTGCAGAACGAGGCTTTAGCCATCATCAGCTGTACTTACAATTCTAACATACTCTGGTTGACAAGGCTTTAGAATACAGCTTGTAACTGTGACTTTTTTTTCCCCCCTTCCCTGGCAGGACCCGCTGGGGCCCAGCCCCTACTCATGGTGCCCAGAAGACCTGGCTATGGCACCATGGGCAAACCCATTAAACTGCTGGCTAACTGTTTTCAAGTTGAAATCCCAAAGATTGATGTCTACCTCTATGAGGTAGATATTAAACCAGACAAGTGTCCTAGGAGAGTGAACAGGTAAGAATCATGAAACTGCAAAGATCTTTTGCTATTTTTCTTTCCTTAGTAATTATTTATGTTTATCTTGTATATCTGAATAACAATGACAATATGTAACAGTTTGACCAAAAACATCTGGTAATTTGTTTTAAAATGATAGTGGGAAAAAAAAATCTGTGAAATTATTTTATTATAACATGAGCTCACATTTTCCCTGTGATAATAGAAAAGGTCCGAGTTATTTTTACATGCTCCTGAAATCAGGTTGAACATCCTAAGCACATCATCTTCCTTACTCTTAGGTAATACGTCTGTGCTTGCTTTTTTCTCCTCAGCTCCCTTACTTACCACTTTCAGAATGATCCCTTTAAGATGATGATGATGATGATGATGACGACAGCAGTGGGGGGTAGAAATGGTGGTTCCATGCTTTCTTTTCTCCTTTCCCAATTCCTGACTGTTCCTTACTATCACATAGGAATAAATAAAGATGGTATATAAAGATTTAGCCTGCTTTCAGTAAGCTTCCTCTCCCCCCCGCCATGCCATTTATATTCCTGGATGTGGTTTAGGTAATACAGGGAATATAAGAGGAATTTATGATTGGGTATATATTATGTCTATTTAGGTTTTGTTTTTAAAAACAAAGACAATAAATTGAAAAGAAAAATCAATGTGATATTCAGTTTAGCATTTTGGTTTGTATGATCCCAGCCTTTTCTTATTCAATAAATGTTTTTAAGAGCCTTCATTTAAGACATTTAAGAAAAAGAATGTTGTTTCTTTCAAGGAGATAAGACACCTAAGAAGTATGAAGGTCTTTTTCTTGGGCTTGTCATTCTAATTGTTAATATTTCTTTTATACCTGAAAGTGAATGAGCACTAAAAGACTTTGTAATAACATGTTTAAAAAAAAACAAAAAACACCTAAAGAAATGTTGCAATTAACATATAGTACAGAGTTCTTTATCAGGTCAGGAAGACTTGCAGAGTATTACAGTTGGAAGGAACTCCTTAAGAAGTTAGCTAATCTAATACCCTTTTTATTTATAGCTGAAATCCAGAAAGGTTAAGGGATTTAGTCAAGAACATGTTTCAAGTAGGAAAGGTGAAACCAGAACTCCAGAATCCTGACTTGGTAGTCATTAGGAAGTATTTTGTAAAGGAAGAAGTTAATCTACAACAATCGGTAAAATTTTGGTTAGCTGCAGTAAAAATAACATATATATAATTAAAAAAAAATTTTTTTTTTCTAAGGAAGGATAGCAGAACAAAAGTATAATGGTTGAAAAGAACCAGGTGTATTGAGTTTAAATCAGGCTTAAGGGGAAGGTTCTCTGCATTATATGTTCATTACAGCATTCCTATAGGTGTTTTTTTTTTTTTTTTAAACATATTATCAGATACTAGTTTAAGGTACCATTTGTGAATAGATAGATGACTCCTTATCTTGCTGTAGCCTCTACTTCTTTCCAAAACTTCAGATTGATACCTGAATGTTCTTAAAGTAAACAGCATAAGTTAAAAGAGTGGTGCCCTACTCTTCTGTGACCTCGTAGTACTTGGTGTGCACTTCCACTATGGCGTTTTTAGTGCATTATAGTTACATATTTTTCTTCCTTTCCCCAGTATAACCCTTTCATGAAAAGTAGTGTTCTCTGTCATCTTTGTCACCCCATGTCAGCTCAGTGATTGGCACATAATACTCAGTAAAGTGAATGAAATGCTTATAAAAGTAAAATGGGGACCAGGCACAGTGGCTCACGCCTGTAATCCCAGCACTTTGGGAGGCCAAGGCAGGCAGATCATGAGGTCAGGAGTTTGAGACCAACTTGGCCAATATAGTGAAACCCTGTCTCTACTAATAATACAAAAATTAGCCAGGCATGGTGGCACATGCCTGTAGTCCCAGCTATTCGGGAGGGTGAGGCAGAAGAATCGCTTGAACCTGGGAGACAGAGATTGCAGTGAGCCGACATCGCCCCACTGCACTCCAACCTGGACTACAGAGTGAGACTCTGTCTCAAAAAAGAAAAAAAAAAAAGTAAAATGGAATGAGTGTGATGGTGGGGGACAGGAAAGAAAACTGAATAAACTGGATATTCTAAAGGACTGTTATACCTGAACATGGATTTTTCAGTGCCCTACTCCTATCTCCTAGGATCTGTAGGTTAGTCTTAGTCTGGGTCTCCCTTCACTCTCCTTTATGTCCTTCTGTTAGCTGTCATCTACTGGGATGACTTGGGGACTTAACTAACCCATGCTGTACTTTCATAGAGATTCCCCGTTTCTTGTTTCTCAAAACTGGGTCATTAATGTGTAGATTTCAGTGAAGGATAATCCTTCTGGTAGATGTTTACATTTTAAAAAGTTATTTATTAGCTGGGCTATCCATGGGCCTGTAGTCCCACCTATTCCGAAGGCTGAGGCAGGAGGATTACTTAAGCCCAGGAGTTCAAGACTGCAGTGTGTTGTGATTGTGCCTGTGAATAGCCACTGGACTCCAGCCTGGGCAACATAGTGAGACCACATATCTAAAAAACAAATAAATAAAAATAAAAAGGCATTAGTTAATCTAAGTAAAGACTTGGGGCTTGAGGGATGTCAATTCGTTTTTTTAGTAGGCCAGATGAGCTACAAGGAAGTGATGTGGTAGCAAAAACATTAAGTAAAAAGAACAGAATTGTTTATTACTTATTCTTTCTCCTGCCTAACATTTTTGTTTCATTATTTTCATTGCGGGGGTGGGTCAGAGAATTTACATATTATATATGTGTATATAAAGTTATATAGCATAGAATTCATATGTACATGCTCAGTGTATTAAGTTTGTGAGAAAAATATATGTCATGAATTAGCATGGTACATTCTGGTTTTAACTTACGAGTCTTTTGACATCCTTACTTACATTTCATCTTTAGTTTGCTTTATCTCACATTTTTTTGCCAGTACCAATAATTTAGATTTGTAATATAAATGTTTCCAAGTGGAAAGTTTTTAAATTTTTTCTCATGTAAAATTTTAATCATTTTTATCATGTTTTTGAGTTTTGATAGGAACTATAGGATTTGTTTGGGATTCTAAAAATGGCATAAATCAGCTTTATACTTTGTTAATAATGCTTTGATTTGATGTCAACATCTGCAAACCTTATCCCATTTTCTTCAACTGACTTGCAGTTGTCTTCAGTTTTTACAGTATTACTGCATGAATAGTCAGTTAAAACTTGGTGGCCTTCTGAAATTGGTGTGGTGGCTCAGTTCCTACACTTCAGCAACTGGAATTCTAGGTGTTAGAAGGAACTAGATAGAACTTAACAATTCCTTTTCAATGTTAGCAAAACAGTTAAAGGACAAAATGTAGTGGTTCCATTATGTCTAATTTAACTTATCCAAAATATTAAAACAAAACAAATTGTTTTATTTCTTTTTTAAAAAGCCAGGGTCTCAATCTGTCTCCCAGGCTCTGGAGTGCAGTGGCACAGTCTTACCACACTACAATTCTCAACCTCCTGGACTCAAGTGATCCTTCTACCTCAGCCTCCCGAGTAGCTGAGACTACAGGTATCACCATGCTGAGATCATTTTTGCCCAGGCTGGTTTTGAACTCCTGAGCTCAAGTGATCCTCCCACCTCGGCCTCCCAAAGTCCTAGGATTACAGGCATGAGCCACCGTGACCAGCCTTATTTAGTTTCTTATTAAAGATTTATATTGTTGCCTTCTAGAAAGTCATGGTGATTCTTCTCTAAGTGACTTACATTTTTTAATACTTAAATTAACATTCATGAGGTTTTTCTTGTTCATGTGCCACAAGAACAAATATTAGGCACTAAGGCATTAATCATAATAGTAGAAAGATGTATTATAGCCAAATAACTTCCACTTTAGTTGCAGTCTTCTCAGACGCAATATCCAGGAAATGCTAGTGAATCATTTTGTGGGTCAACCTTTCTACAAATGTATTCTTTAGATTTTCTGTCCATTGCTTTTTTTGTCCTTTCCTCACCCCCTTTTGTATTGGGGGGGTGGGATGGGAAAGGAGAGTCTTTTCGTCCTTTTTTCCCCTATTAAATGATTTTGATTGAAAGTAAACTATTGGTAAATGAGTATGTAAAGTATATTTCAAATGTTACTAGTTTCTAATAAGTTAATGGTCTGAGCAACTAAAAACCAAATATTTTTAGGAACATTATGACCCAGCATATAAATTCTGTAACTTAAGATTTTATGTTGGTTTGTCCGACCTCTAAATACACCTTGAATAGTGTATGCATTTATTCAAAACCATTAAATAATGGAATACATGTTAAAAATGATATATACAACATGATTATAACTGCAATATCTATTTTAAAACATGAATAACAATTTGAAGAAATCTTAAAATAGCAGTAGATTGTGGTTGCATTTTTTGGCTCAGTTTTCTTTTACAAATTAAACATTTTTACTGCTGTTACTGTTAATATTCTATGATGATTAATATCATGCCAAATATTTCTGCATATTTCTTATGAATATAGTGTAATACTGATGATTGAGTTTTGTTTTATTTTATTTTATTTATTTATTTATTTATTTTGAAACAGGGTCTCACTCTGTCACCCAGGCTGAAGTGCAGTGGCACGATCATAGTTCACTGCAGCCTTGACCTACCCGGGCTCAAGCAATTCTCCTACCTCAGCTTCCCGGTTAGCTGAGACCAGGTACACACCTGGCTAATTTTTCTACTTTTTATAGAGACAGAGTTTTGCCATGTTGCCCAGGCTGGTCTCGAACTCATAGGCTCAAGAGGTCGCCCACCTTGGCCAGAAAGATGGTGCTTTTTTTGTCCTTTCCTAACCCGCATCATCTTACTGCACCCAGAAGGATGATTGAATTTTAGAAAGAAAAAAAGTAAATCTATATTGATCCAATTTTGGCTTTTTTAATGGAAATCTCAGAGCAGCAATGTGTTTAAAGAAACTCCTTTTCTGCTGTTAGGAATGTCATTGGTATAGTGTTATATAGTTGGATAGTAT